CAACATGCACGCTCCCTTAAAGTCTAACAAACAAATTTGGTCTAACCCAGTTATGTCAATATGAAACAAAGACTTTATCTTCGATCTAGTTTAGCAGTTTTGTTCTAAAGAGATAAGTCCACACCATGATCAGTGGGACCATAAAACTCTTGATGCAGTTTGTAACCCCTCCCCACGGCTTGCTGAAGTAAGATGAAACCCAGTAAACCATTTAAAAATATATACACCATTACTTTAATTTACTTCCTGATAAACCCAGAATTCTCTCTAGTCTAATCTTCTTTCTGATCCATCAAATTAAGCAGCCTCTCAACAATATACCAAATCACCCCTTTCTTTTACATGTTCTTCCTCTTCGGACACAGACAAAATCTGAAGAAACCACATGTTCCCTCTGGAATTGGCTTTCTTCAGTGTTACACTTTGCATCTCAGCATTTCTCAAAGCAACTGCTGCCAAAGGGCCAAACTGCGACGTCTTCACACTGATAGCACAGACGCAGCAACCGAAGCCAGTGAGACCAGTTGTGAAGAAATGATTGACGTGGACACAGATACCAGAATGTAGTCCAAAATTTCTAATGAAACACGCTTTTTTATCTCCTACATATGAATAAAACTGCATTTCTCATTTGTGTGGAATACAGGGGTAGAAAGTACACAATAGGAGGCACTGAAAAGATGATGCATAACACTCAAATTTTGTTCAAGGAAAAATAACTTCTTTCCTTATTTTGTGGACACCTGGCAAACATGGTATTTAACTAAACCCTCCAGAAAGTTTAAAGTGACACTTTATAATTACAGTATAGTTCAGTTCAAAGACAAAGTGAAGAAGGGAAGCTTTCTTACATAAAGCTCAATTCTTTATACAAACTTCCTTCTTGTTTCTCTCTGTACCAGTTGCATTTATATTGGTATTCTAGTTTGTCATAAACATAGTGACCTTGTAACCCTTTTTATCAAGTAATCTATGCACTACCTAAAAGTACACTACACTTCATCAGACAAGCTATAGGTTTACATTATACAAACATTCAAATTCTGCCTGCTCAGCGCAGGTTGTCAATAAATGCAAGCAATTGCAAAACAGCAATGTGTGTTTTTTTCCTTAAGAGAACACTGATATGAGCCTGCCAGTTCTGCAAAATAAACTCTTTGCAATCTCTGCAGCTAATCTGTCAACAAATTACTATTAAAGTCATACCTTCTAAAAGTTCAAGAGCATTCTGGATTTATCACAAGATACTGAGTTTTATACTCGTGGGGCAGTACTTGAAGTTTTGGTATCAAAGTGGATCTTTCCATTGATGTGGAGAAGTTTGTTTTTCTGCCACCATGCAACCCAGTATTTTGTGTCTTGCTCTAATATACTGGAATTCCACTTTATATTCATGCTCTTTATTACATTCACATTTTTGTTTCTCTACTAATAATGTGAAGAATACTTTAATGAATAGTCCCATGGATAAAAATAAATCACAAATAAGTATTATTTATTTTATAAGCTTAAAAAGAGAACTGACTAGGACTGAAGCATCAAACCCTCTATTTGAGTAGACGTCAGAAACCACTGAAGCAACTGAAGCTGTGATCATGGACATTAAAAGGCAGTAAGGCAGTTTGTCCCCATAAGTCTTTATTTCTTCCTCCTTGGTAGGTTAAGAGTCACTCCCTCATTACATACTTCGTGTTGGAGCTTCCCTCACTCAGCATGCCTTTCTGCCCGTGGGTCACCCTGCCGCCCTTTCTGCGCTTTCCAGATCTGTTGGCTTTTCGTGAGCCAACAGATGTTGCTGGAGCTCTCTGGTGCCCCAGCTGATGTAGGTCCCTTGGAGGCAAACTCCAGAGCCACGTTCCCTGACCCTATGCCAAATGCCAGGTTCAGGTCTTGCTATGAGGTCTGAAGACCATGGTGACCATCACGCCTAACTCAGGGCACCCAAACCCTGCCTGCTCCCCCTATTTCTGACATGACCTATTTGTTCCTCAGAGGTGCTGCCCACCGGCTCCCTGGAGCTTTGAGTGAACCCCTCCCATCCCTCAGGAGGTACCAAAACACTGTGGGAAAGAGTCTTCCTTCCCTTTTAGACTGGTGCTGGTGGTGATTTTTCCCATACCTATCTCCATTTCTATCCGCCCCTTCTACAGATGTACTGTTCCCAGAGCAGTCACCTGTACTGCTTTTGCTCTCTTTGAAAAGTATCTTATGTCATGATTACAAACATAAACATCAGTTGGAGCTATTTGTCTTCACTATATATTGCAGAACTGGCCCCAGATTTGCCATTCCCAGCTAACAGTACATTTTATAAGATTCCTAAGGCAAAAGTAACTTATTATCACTCTCTGTCTTCTTGCATGGCAGAATCACCCTAAGATGACATGGAAAGTGCAAAACCTGTCCTGTGAGTCATCCCTGCACTTATTACAAGACAGCTCACTTTGCATATTATTCCTTCTAACATACGAACATCTGTGATGCTCTGTATTTTTCCATGATAAAATATTTACGAGTTTGTGAACTTATTAAAGCTTCCTAAAAAAACCTGGAAGTGTTTGTTTCCCTTTCTCACAGCAGCAAAACAGCCCTCATAAATTCATAAAATTAACCAAAAAAAACAAAAAACCCACGAACCCATGAACCCAACGCTTCATATAAACTATTATACGTCCACGTTTCTCTGCTCAACCGTGCTCACCATGGGAATACATAACTAACCAGAACAGCGAAGCTCAAACTACCCGCCGCTGATTTTTTTCCGACAAAACAAGCGCCAGGTGGCAAAAAGAAAAGATTTGAATGAAATGCTCTTAAGAAATAGCTGTTTAATTCAGAACCCATTCATTTGTATTGAAGAAGCGTTTTGTAGAACGCATTCTGTTAAGTGACCTGAGAGCATATGTTGTATATGGAGAAACATCTAAACATTATGCTCCATGTTGTATGTGTATCTGTAAATGCTTGCATTAGCTGTCTGAAAACAACGGGGTTTTTTTTTTTTTGTTTTCAGCATTTAAAAATACTTCCCAAACACAAAGATTGATATTTTTACTCTAGCTTTGATTGTCCTTTTGTTATTATCAGGGTTTTTTTTTTTTTTTGAAAGTGAGCGTTGTAAACTTTGCAATCAACTTGCTTTTGAAAAGGAAAACTCCATGGAAAAGTTACTCATCAAAACCAATTAGCAGCAGAATTCAAACACAGAACATAAAGGTCTTTTACAAACTCGGAGAAAAGCAAGTTAACCGAACAGGTTTATTGTCCTGGCAGAGGCGGAGGATAAATAAACTATGTGCCAAAACCTGCGTTCTGCGAAAGCAGGCTGTAAAGTCATCCTGCCCACCCCACCGCCGCGTCCTGCTCCCAGTGCCGGCAGCATGGTCCGGGCGGCGCTTTCAGTTGGTGCTGGGCACCGCTCGGGAGCCCCGGGCGGGAACGAGTCTGTGCCGCTCCTCCACCGAGCCAGCCTCGGCGCAAGGCTTCCCCAAGGCAGACTGGGCAGCGGTGGCAAGACGGGGACAGCCAAGGGCCGCGCGTTTCCCATCTACAACACGCTCCAGTGTTTTGGTGCGGGTGCGCCCGCGCCCCTCTCTCCTCCCCTCTCCGAACAAAGAGGGCAGGGAGCAGCGTCGGAAACCTCCCCGGCGCTCGCGCGGAAAACGCAACGCAATTACCTCGTTGCGATAACGAGGCCTTTTTAAGGAGAGAGACCTTTTGTGTCCAACGTGCTTTCCTGTTCCCATTTCTCGTCGCCTGTCCTGTATTAATCAAAGCCGTAACCCCTGTTGTCTTTGCACTACGAATCAGAATGTGCCCCTGGCGAAGAACGAGGGAAAAGTCAACAGGAATTAAGTTTCAGTGCAACTGTTTACTCAACTGTGGCCTGCAGTTATTGAAATTTTATCCGTGGTTTTGTGTGACTACTGCAGTAATGAATTCAGCATGGCTGTGATTTTCTCACTGATGGTATTCTCACTTCAAGGAAAAACCTGTAGGATGAAAATGACTGGAACGACCAAAGGCTGCGCATTCAGCATCAACCATTTCCCTGGCTTGTTTAATTATGGCAGCTTTCTCTCTCAGGTTGGCAAACGGGATCCCTTGCTCCTTTTCAAGCCTCCAGTTTGCCTTGTTTTTGACTGCAGGTTTTTCTTCACCACAACAACCTGCTAAAAAGATCACTGTACGCGCAGGGGCGTCTTAACCAGCTGCCAATTGCTTATTTAAAAGGTTTTAAGAACGCTTATTGCGCGAGAGAAACTGAGGGTTAGGCGTAAGCGTATTCACGACGGCTCTACCGCAGCCTCTGTCCCCAAACATGTTAAGGATGCACGCCCAGCAGCTTGCTGCAAAATTTCCTACGAGGGTTTCAAAATTTTATCAGGGAAAAGAAAGCAACCAAATGTATTATACAGATGATTTACACTGGCGAACTTGGTCACTTCCCAGAAAATACAATAATTAAAACACAAAGGGAAAACATTAATACATAATTTTGCTCTGATTCTTTTGCAGTGAAAATAGTCCTGGCACGTGATTAATTTATTTATTTCTTCTAAGTTTTGCTGCGGTAGATACCCCCCCAAACTTCTTCACTAATAGAAACCATTCTGTTGATAGAAGTTGCTAGGTTATATTAAAATTTGTTGCAAAAACAAAACTTCACGTTAGTGTATTTTCCACCCTGTGACATTATTTGGGAAACCAGTTATTTGTATACGGCAGTTCGCCCAATTACAGCCACCAGGCACACGCAGGCAATGGAAGCGAGCTCTGATCTTTGCATCTCTCCAGGGAATGCCTGAAAACAAACCCTGGAAGAAAAATCTAACGTTTCCCTTTGCATTACGCTTGCAATCCTCCGCAGACAACGATGTAAGGAATGTCGTCGGCAAGTCCTAAAAGCATCCTCTGACGGGCAAATTCAAAGGGTTTTGAGGGTTAAATGCGCTACGCTTTTGCTGTAAGTAGGAAATTTGTAATATATGTTACAGTACCTGCTGTTGCTGAAGATGTGCTAAATCTGCAGCCCCAATTTCAACTGAAGGTGTCTCGCCGTTTGATCTCACTTCCCGTAGGCTGCACTCTAGTAAATGGTTGCCACCGCTCGCTCCATTCTGAATGGCTGAACCGTTACTTTTTGTCTCAGTCCCAGATTCTTGCATCATGACTCAAAAACCTGAAATAATTTAGGGGGGGGGGGGGGGAAAAAAGCAGCTGTTAAAACAGTTGCTGTATATAAGGAGACATGCCCTGTTTTAAATCCTGCCAAAACTGTAAACATTTGTCATTTCCCTTCATACGATTTATCTTTCATTAATGGTTCATGCTACTAGTTTATGTTTATTTATCTGTTGGTAAAGCTATAATTTTAGTAAGTAAGTTCTGTTCTAAATATAGCATTATTTGCTCAACATCTTTTTTCCCTTAGAGAAAAAAAAATATTTTCGAATGAACACACAGAATCCATAATTAAATTTCTCTAGTTACATCTGGATGCTTTTCTGTCTTTGAAACCGATGAGTCACCCTTTGCAACACATTATGGACAGTATCAAAAATTTGATATGCAGTACGTAGGCGCTGAGAGGTGAAGCCGAGCAGTCAGTATTTCAGTGTCCCTTCACACCATGATACTGCCAAATCAGCGCCTTTTATTCCTATGATCTGAATAAGGGTAATTTAGGCTGCGTCCACGATGTGCTGAGCACCATCAGTTTTCCCTTGGAGCAACCTCTTCGCATGTTAGAATTCGTTCAGTTGATCACAGAACGAGGGTAAGTTTCTTGGCTATAGATCTGGTCTGACTTTGCATGTGCCTTAGCACTAAGGCACTGCAGCGAAGAGTTATTTGCAACAAACCACGTATTTGGTTAAACATTGTCTTCATATTCACAGCCAGCTGGCATGGCTGCGTAACTCTGAGGATTTCCGTCCCTGGGTGTTTTATAACGCCGCACGGAAAAAGCCCATCAGCTGGTCGCTGGCTGCAGAGCGAGGATGACCCCACCGTTGCCCACCACGGAGGTCCTAGACTTCACACGTGTTTCTCTGGCAGTGCTTGTGAGCAACGAGACCCCCAAACAAGGCAAATTTGCCAGTTTTCAGCTGCACTGACCTTTCTCTTGGAGATGTTTTTATGAGTTGTTTTATAGGCATTTCCATCTGCCAGGCACCAACTTACAGAAATTATTGACCTAATCTACTTCTGCTGACCCACCCTTCCTTCCACTCGTGCTCCCGTTCTCCCTCATCCACCCACTCTCACCAGCATGGACACCAGGTCATGTTGGCTGTGGCAGCACCCTGTGCAGGGACGACGACAACCACCACCACCACCACCACCACCACCTGGAGCAGACCAGCCCTTTGGTCAGCACTGAAACGACAAGGTGCCTTTCCAGCATCACTCCCCCTCTACAAAACACCTTGAAAGGAGGCAGGGAGAAAATCTTGCCTCCCTGCAACACGCTCCACCAACACGCAACCATTTCCATCCCGCAGCCCTGAGGCAAAACGTTGCCTACAACATCATCAGGAGGCAACTGCAAAATTGCAGTCTGAAGAGGACAGCAAGGGTGCTGCTTGAAGGCCTCCCTGGCCTGGTGTGAGGGTGGCTGTTTGGAGGTCTGATCCAGCGGGGAAGACGGCAGAGGGTAAGCCAAGGGGCATACTCGGAGCACATTTCCCACTCCGTACTAACTCACTGCGTGCACACTCTTAACGTGAGCCAAACGCCTTTGTGCATGGTAGTTAACTTTGAAAGCAAATCGCTTTACCCCCAAGACAGAGCCTGGCGTGCTCCCACCTGGGGATTACTGGGGAACAACTGCTGTGCCATGAATTCACGCCCTGCACTACTCTGCTGTAACTCCCCTGTGGAGACCTGCCTTACGTTTACATGAGCAGTCCGGAGAAGTAGATAATTTGTGCTCGACAGCTTGCTTTCGGAAATGAAAAGTTCATATTTAAGGAGGAACCTGTTTGAAGTCGGTAACTCTACCCTGATTTAGAAGAAAATCCCCCCTGCCAGCACAATAAGGGAAAATATCAATCAGGAAAGGAGAGAGAAAGCAATTTTCTAATGGAAAAATACTAGGGGAAAGTACTTTCCCCAGAAAATTCATACCAGCATAATCGAGAGCCCTTGGCCACCTAAGGCACAACGCCTGCTGCAGACAACGGTTCTCCCCTCCAGCATCGGCTCCCTTGGGTTAAAGGCTCAGAGCAGGCAGGCGCCGCCCCGAGGCTTGCCAGAGTGGCCTCGCTGCCAGGCAAAGGTGACATTCAACATCAAACCCCAGTTCTCGTTCGGCTCGGCCTAGAGGCCCACTCCAGCCGAACGCACAAATACCAGGCCACTGATTAATTTGGTAGCTTTAGATATTCATAATGGTGATCCATACAGCTGATAATCAAAATGTCATCAGTGAGAAGCAGCTGACTAACGAGGGCTTTGTGATTGACACCGGAGGCAGGGGGAGCCACTCATTAGCAGGACCCCGCTCCAGCCATGAAGGGAGCTATTCACGCTGCCTGCCGTCCGAGCCTATGGAAGGTGGTAGGACAGATTCAAACGTTCCGATTACATTTAAATAAATTTCAGCTGGTCTGTGGAAACTTCTTTCAATCTGTTTTGTGAAATCTTCGAATTATGCAAAGAGACAAAAGGGCCTGGGGGCTCATTACAGTGCTTCTGTCAACTCTCCTGCAAAAGCTTCAGAGATCTAAACTAACCCAAAACTTTCCTAACGGCACCAGCAAATGCTTTTTGGTTTTAACGTGATCCAGTTCTGACACAGATGGAGCATGGTGTGTTTTTCATTTTCGGCACTATCAGGGAAACTCACAGACATGGTAAGGTCTAAATAACTGTGCTTACTCCACCCACATAACACACAGCCCTGGATTACCGATACAGTAGTGATTGCACAGCACAGGTTGCTTCAGAAACACAGAAAGGAGAGAATCTCCAGCCAGCTCACAAATTAGTCCAAGGTACACCAGACAATTTTTACATGCTGCATTACAAAAAGGACACATCACTTTTAACCAGAGATGAATCAAAAAGAGGGAACTGATATAATCCTTTTCCTTCCATCTAAATTTGGGGTCAAGCTTCAACTGGAGTAAATGGACATTACGTTAATTTGTCTCAGCTGAAGATCTGGACAAGGATGAACATGTACGACTGGCTTAGCGAGTTAAACTCATGGACTCGTCTCTGATCGCTGTGATGCCTGATGGCAAACAGGGGATGGCACGTCAACAACACATGTCACACTCAGAAGGTCCTAGGGTAGACCAAGCTGACTGAGGAAGGACATCCTAAAGAACTGGTAGCAGGTGCCTTCATCCGATACCATAACGGAAAGAGATGCAAAAATAAACACATGCCTGAAGAATAAAGAAGGGTATTTTGTTTCCAAACACTTCCAATGCAACAAGTTGACAGGAAGCAGGAACCTGGATAAACTACTAAGGAGGGTCAGAGAAAGCCCTGCCCGAAGCCCTGAGATGCCTCTGACAACGGCAAGAAGAATGTGCACCACTGAGCAGCAGATCTATCACTGCCTGATCACAATTTGTTGGCTTGCCCTTCTGAGCCAAATATCCCTGGGACTCAGGAAATAATTCACAAACAAACTGGTCAAGAAATTATTTATTGCCTCTAAGATTGCAAAATGCTCCTGGAAAGAAACAACAGTAGAAATTGCTACAATTTTTCCAACCTGTAGGACTAGCAGAAGGAAGGATTATTTATAGTACTTCGTAACAAAAAGATCACTGAGTTTTTGAGAACCTTTTCCATGAAAAACTTCATGTTCCATTTTACATGTTAAAGTCACCAAGCTGGTCACTATTAGCCACTGAGCTGCACAATGTAGGCTCTGAACCTTTTATTGGCCATGCCCACCTTATACATTCAGGAGGATCAGCAGCAGCTATCAAGAAAATGGAGCTGCAAATGGCGTTTGCAAAGACAACATCCAAACAGTAAGAAGAAAATTATGATGATTTGAACTTTCAGGGTTTTGTCCACTCAAAAATTATTAAAAAAAAAAAAAAAAGATGAACATCTCTGTGTAAATTTTGCTTTAAACATTTAAACATTCCTGGGCGCTCAACTTCAACATAGCCCCAACTGGAAAACAATACAAAACAAATGCACTTTGCTAAAATACCTCAAACAGAAAATAGGATTTTCAAGGGAGATAAGATAAAACTATTTATTTCTTCACTGTAGTTAAATGTGCATTGATATAAATAATCACAATTCGGTTTGATCATTAGGCATCATGTCATGAAAATCAACCTGCAAGAGCTTTCTGCAACAGTGATTACTATCTGTCTTCTCGAGCACACCCAAATGAGCTAAGGTGATAGTACACTGAGGATGGCTGAGATAATTGTCTCTCTTCAGCACACAGAAACAGGCTTTAGACAAGCCTATTAGTGAAGTCCGTCGTTCAAAATTTTGAAAGAAGAACGCAAAGCAAGGTTGACTTTATGCAGCAAGATGATATTCTGCAGGAAATGAACTGAAGATTCAGGTCTAGCATTACCATCAGTGAGTCTGATCTGAATACAACCTAACTAACTAAAATAGTACTGAAGAAACTTTAATGCATAATGACAGACTATACGAAACATAGTAATCTGCAAAAACTTCCATGACATACAAGATACAATGTTCTGACTTAAGAAAGTTAGTGGCAAAAAAGCACGTCTCATGAGTTCTACAAAGCAGAATGATTCTCCTAACAATTTTGCAAATGAAAAGTTATTTGTATGGCTTTAAATAGATGAGTTCTTATTAGTATAATTATCTTTCTTTTTTTCCAAAAAATTCTACACTACTCCAAGTTCGGAGGGATCTAGAATGACTCTTAAGATTATTAAAGATGATACAAGATGGTTTTCCCTACGAAGGGATCAAAGCTAAGTTCCAGTGTGAAGAACACAACAAACTTCCACGGTTGTCCTCGTAAAAGTTCATCCTGAAATCAAGAAGATCATGTGAAGAGAACTGTTCTCAACTGATTTATATCAACTTCGTCTAAAAATCTCATGGCAGTGACCACTTTCTCAAAATTCTGGTCTTAACCTGCACAAAACCTTGTCTAGTTTTGATGCACAGCCAAATTAAAAGGCAAAGTGTAGCCCATATCACTGGTTA